ATAACAATATACACCTCGCGTCAAAATTAACAGACCCAATTTTATTTTTTCACGAATGACTAGGTTTATTTATAGTTACTTACTACTACATATATTTGAAGTTTTTAATTTTTTCAAAAAATAGAGAAGCAAATAACAAACGTTTGCAAATGTTTTATTTCTTTTGGTTTAGTCTCAAAACAGCAATGGGCTATAAAGCTTAATAAAATTTACGAATGAAGAACTATTGAAAATCATTTGAGTTTTATCAAAATAAGCTGATGACCTATATCGAACGAATCCTTTGCAAATTACCCTCGAATGCCGTTTATGATCTGTTTCGCTAATAAACATTTTTTTAAGCCCCTATTAAGGTTCCTTATGGGTGAATATTAAAATTTAAACGCGAGCCTCCCAATGAATAATTCCGCCGTACAAAAAATTTTCACGACTTCCCAACACCGTTAAAAACCATTAAAACTTTTACGATGGAGCCGTCGTCGTATCGGCGGGGAAGACCTAACTTTTTGAAAAGATCGTTAAGCCCGCCTAGTATCTACAGCACTACGATGGACCTTTAAGTCACAATGTAGACGAACGCATCTATTTTTCGTTAATAGAACGACTGCAGTGTAAACATCCCATTAAATTAAATCGCTTTGCAGCGTAGCGAAGACAGTAAAACGATCGGAAAATGAGTTACTCTTTAACAGAGAGGGGATTGTCCCAGTCCAGTAAGACAACTGCTATTTTTTTTTTTAATTTGCGCGGTGGAAGAAGTAACATTCAAAATGTTTTTCCGTTTATAAAATCTAGCCGTAAAAGAATCTTCATGACAAACATCAAGAGCAAAAAATCAACAAATATGTGGTGTAAGAAAGGGATAAGCCGTTGTTAAAATGTATTTGTTGCTTTATGGGCAATGCTCGTCATCAGCGACGTTTTAAAAATATCTATTTCGACATGTTTACCGCAAAAGTAACCTATGTATCATGTACATTATGCGTGGCCACGTCCATATAAAACAATGTTGGCTATGTTTAATAAATAAAGGTAGCGTAGTAAACACATCTAGTCAAGTGCGCTGTGTGGTTATAATTTTAGTTGGTTTTAACGTATACTTATAACGAATTTAGCGGATATAGCTTGCATAACGCTCAGTGTGGCCTTAACATTAGAAAGTGGTAGATATACCAAATCAGCTGCCAAAAAGGCAAGGAAATTAAACACAATATTTTTTTATCACTTCAGAAAATGCCCTATGCTCTAGGTCCAAAGCAGTAGGCAGTGAAGCTAAATAAATAAAACTTTTTTCTTCCTAATATGATAAAATAATTTTGTATATTCTCTGCGTGGAAATTGTAATGTGCCGTTCATTTCGCATAGTGTTGGCTATTTCTATCTTTGCTTTTTGTATCCTTAAAGAGAGACGACTGATGCTGCCTGGTTTGATTTCTTCAAATCCTGCGAAATGTCAGTGTCCGACCGTTGCGTGTCAGTGCCTGTCATAAGTGTACAAGTGGACGTACAGGACGTGTATTTATTTTTACATTTTAATTATTCTAGAAATTGGAATCGTGAGCGAGTATTAGCGGCCAATCTGATAATAATCAGGGTAGTCGTAAAGAATCAAATTTAATAAATCAACAATTTGTATCAGATAATTCCAGCATGAAACGCAGATATGTCGATAAACAATGCCATTGAAAAACGCAGTTCTTTAATGAAAATTATTTGTCAAAAGTGTTTATTTTGATGATTTAGTTTTATTTTTAAAATGACAACATTCAAGAAAATTCAAATTGCAATGGCAAAAGACGAATATTTGCCTAGATTGTCCCGAGAACTTTTGCTACATGAAATGAATTATCTTTAAAAACAAAATCCAAAAAGTATGCTAATAGAAAGAACAAAATTGTAGTATTGTAGTAGCGAAAAGAATATTTAGGAAAATAGTAGTCATACATCGAAAACGAAAATTTGTTACCTTGACGAAATATGGATAAATGGTCATAGATATGAGAAGCATTTTTGGACGGGATAAAAAGCACTCTCTGGGAAAGGAGATTAATAATTACACATGGTGAGTGAATGTGGATTTTTGGGCAATGGTTTACACGTGTTCGAGTTGCGACGAACTAAAGGTTACCATGAGAATATGGACAATGGGGTATTTGAAAATGGTTAGAGAATGGTTAGAAAATGGAAAATTTTACCTCATACCGAAACTGATGCAGTAATTGTCATGGATAATACGCCTTACCATAGTCGGTGAATAGATGAATTACCAACATCTGATTGGAGAAAAGGAGAAATCATGTAAAAATTGAATACAAAACATATTGAATATAAAGACACGACGTTAAAAGTACAATTATTTGCACAAAAAGGAAAAGCTAAATACGTGAAATAAATGATACGCCAAGGTTCACGATGTTATACTTCTTCGATTGCCATCATACTAATGCGATCCCATTGAAGTAATATGGGCGATTATAAAACTTACGTGGTAGAGTTGTTTCAAAATCTTATGAGCTTTGACCTTATTGATATGCGCAGAAACATAATTCCAACCGTCGCGTCGCCTAAATTATTCTACGTCCTAAAAACATTACATCCATTATTCACAGTCTATCTCGAACTCTCGTAGCGTAAACAAGCCTTTGCTCCGATTACAAATATCATAATAAAATGCTCTATTCTTTATTATTTTAATTTAAGCAATAAAAATATATATAACGAACGTTCGCCAGTTGACTTTATTGATGCCCGAGCGTATCAATTAGTTCATTTCTGGTTGTAATGAGGCACGTGGTCTAATTCTGAGTCAATGTTTCCACAACATGCTTATTAGAAGAATTACGGGGATACGCCACGCCTTTCGCGCATTTCGCGGCTCATGAGATTTTAAAACTACTCTACAAAATCTATGCCTAATCATTGGTTGTTTTAACATTTATTACGAACGCATCGAATTAGCTAGCATAACACCCTTTGCGACTTTACAATTAGGTGACAGGATACTAAATCACCTGCTGAAGAGGAAAGGAAATTGAACATAATATTTCTAACCGATTTCAGTAAAATTCACTAAGTAATATATTTATATCCCATAATATCTACGGTTTGATGAAATTGAAATCCTTCATCTGAATTATTGGGAACTTCGATTAGAGTTAAAACGCGGGACGAGCATAGCGCACCACCATATCGCCCCCCCCCCCCTTTCAATGAAAAACGCTGACGTTTGTCGTCCATCCTCATTTTTTCCGCCCTAATCCTTGCGACAAGCCACAAATGGCACAAATACCAGCACGGCCTACTGGGTTGACGAGATCGGGGATTAAAGTGCCGCTAAGCCCGGCTTTCTTTTGATGAATTTATTAGTGTTCTTCCCCTAATTGGAATGGGCGACTGCCGAGTCCATCTCAAAGAACGGACGCGTAACAAAGGCACTGACAAGAGAGGACATAGCATGTTAATTATAGCTTAAATTTAGTCTTAATATTGATGAAAATATTAATCCATAAATCAAGTTGCTTCCAAGTTTTGAAAATTTATTATTGAATTATCCACAGTGGTAAATCCTATTGGAAGATAATAATAGAGTATACATTTGTGTCCAAAATTATGAAATATTTTAAAATTGTCATTATTTGTTTTTGTAAAAATATTCACAGGAATCACATCATTTAAACGCTAGTATCAGGAATATTTTTTTGTACAAATTTTAAGCGAACTCACTGTTTTTTTATAAGAAAATCTTTAAGAAAAATTATTTCTATTTGTTATAAAAATTAAAAATATTTAACCTTAAATGCTATTGGAATGGCAAATACTATACTTTTGATTAAAGTAAGAGTATCAATAACAAGTATTTCCTGCTTACATATTCTTGACATGCTACTAAATAGATATTGAATGTATTCTTGAGGAATTGCATTCCATTCCTTTTGTGCTGCAATCCAGTTCTATTCTTGTACTTATTGAAACAGGATCTCTTCATCATATGCAAAGTTTTTAGATGATCCCACATGTATTCTATTGGTTTTCAGTCTGGGCAATATGGTAAAACATGATTTTGCAGCATGTTTTCAATATAGGTACATAAGTCATTTGTCTCATCATTTTCACTAGTTCATTGGGTCTCCCCCAACTAATAAGAGTAGGTACCTCTTCAAATCATTGTACTGCCACCTCCACAGTTAATACTCTGTATGAGATCATACATCAACCGTACCAATCCCCAACTCATCCATAAAGAGAATATTTTCCAAACCTCGATATTCCACTGTACATGTATTTTGGCAAATTCTAATAGACGAGATTTGTGATTTTAAAGAAGACATGAAACTGGCAGGCCATCTTGTCTTTAAACCTGCTTCTATTAATCGTTATCTGTTTTTGAACTAACATTAATTTATCTTACATTTAGTAGCTCATTTTTGAGATGTGTAGATGAAATGTATTGTAAACTTATTCCCATGATAGGGCTTCATATAAAATTGTCAGTCCCTTGAATCTTTTTTAAAATATTCGATAGGTACTATAGATTATGACTTCTCTTTAGACGTCATGCAATACATTATATTTATTTTTCTATATCCTTCCTTATATGTTACTGTTTATGCTGTTTTAGCTTCAATGCAGTGTCTAACTAACAGCATATTGTTGTTTGAAATATAACTTAATTCACTAGACGGGATATAATTTGTAAGGACTTTTTTATGATAAAACTTGCATAAATCACCATTAATGTAAGTTAAACATCAAAATATTTTAAACCAAATAATTATATCTACCCGATGAAAAGCGTGCAATAGTTTAAAATTATTTTTACCTAAAAGTTACAACAAAAATATACTTGATAATTTTACCCACAGATATAAAAGTAGTTTAAGACCTCTAATTGAACAAATTGTACTAATTGTTTCTATTTTAAAAGTCTTAACCTTTTTAACCATGCAGTACAACATTTCAAATTTGTTACTCGAAGAACTGATTTTCTTATTTTCTCCTAGAATGCTTCTGCCCAGGCGGCTCTACAGGCAGCTCAAGCCATTACACAAAACTCTGTGACGCCGGCAGCTACTCCAACTACTCCTGTTACAAATGGCCAGGATATACAGGGTGGCCCCAATACTGTCCTTAGGGTTATTGTCGAGCACATGATTTATCCAATCAGCCTAGATATTTTACATTTGGTAAGTGTACCTATATTAAAGCCTACTTAAATATACTGTACAGAATATAGATTTGTGTAGGATACTAAATTTTGTCAATATTGCCCATACAAACATTTAAACAAAATATGATTATTTAAAAAATTATACAATGACCACCATAGAATTTTGGTCAAATAATGAATATTTTTATTTGTAGTTTTAGGAAAAAGTTTTCTTCTAATACTTTTTGCTAGTCTGAATACCAAGTAAGGACAATCTAGACTTATAAGGAGATTTTTGGTTTAGGTTTTTTGACATTCAGTTAAAACTAAATAAACTAAATATTTATTCAGAAAAATATTTTTATATATATTTTTTCATATTATGAAATTTTTAGCTATATTCTAATAGCATTAATTTACAAAATCAGCAAATATTATTTCTGATGGTAAATTATTAAGATGTTTATTCCCTGGTATATAAGGATACCCTCTCAATATATTTCTATCACCATTTATTTACAACTGTTAGAACTTTTCGCTGAAATCAAGGTAATACACAAATGATAAATTGATAAATAAAAAAAAAATTTAATATAAAGGAATTGTTGTGTTTATTGTTATGATGTGCTCAACTTATTATATTATTGTAACAGTATGTTTTAGTCATCTCCTTAGTATGGTAAAGTATTTTTATTAAATTTCTCAAAGGTGCAATTATCCAGTTAGTTATAGTATATGTAGGTATACATTTTTATATAGAAAATTAAGAATAAAATAGATGTACATTTATAAAAATAAGTAAATCAATTAATACTAAAATTATATTATTTACTTTTAGATATTCCAACGTTTTGGAAAAGTACTGAAGATTGTTACTTTTACAAAAAACAGTAAGTACAAATATTTTTCTTCACATACATAAAAATTGTCAAAGTTTAGAACTGTATTCACATTTTAACTGATTGCTACGAAATCCGCAAAACAGTTTTTTCTAATAAATTAATCACTATACTCATTTCTAAATTCGCAGACTCATTCCAAGCGTTAATCCAGTACCCAGACACACAGTCTGCCCAGACAGCCAAACAGGCCCTAGATGGTCAGAACATCTACAATAGCTGCTGCACGCTGCGTATTGACTATTCCAAGATGTCTTCGCTGAACGTCAAATACAACAATGACAAGTCCAGGGATTACACAAACCCCAACTTGCCCACTGGAGACACCAACGACCAGCTGGCCCTAAGCGGTGGTTTAGCGGGAGGACTGGGAGCGGATATTCTGCTGCTCGCTACTCAACCAAGGTTGGCTAGGGAGAGGTTGGCTGGTGAGTAGAGAGAGTTATGAAAAATTCGCAATAAATTGCATGCACAGTATTTATATTTTTTGCCAAGTATAAAATAGTAACGCAAGGTAGTGTTAATTAAAACCATATTATAAAAAATGTCTGAGTATGTTGCATTATTCATGTTATATATAAAGTTAATATCGTCAAGTACTAAAACGCATAGTAAAAATAATAAACTTTCAGTAAAGTTAACATGTTTAATACAGATTTTCAAGTATATATGTCATTTGGAAAAAAAACTACCGCACTAGGTAACAAAATATGTTAGTATATCAGAAAAAAAGTCTATCATTTTTCTTTGAAGTAGATGCTGGAAAAAAAATAGTAGTGCCATTTTATAGCTAATTAGAATTAATATATCTTTTGCTTTTTAAAATAAAATATTTTATGCATCTTACACCTACTATGCAGAGTATTAATTTATACTTGTATTGAAAATTATTTACACTGCAAATACTTTTAACATACAGGGCATTTAAAAGCCTAAAAATATTCATGCGTCGTATCTCTTATTAACGATTGCTATAAAAAATGTTCCTTTTTCTTAAGATTCCATATTAGCTGGAGCACCTGGTGTTCTCAGCAGCCCCTTCATGCATGGCCTGGCATCCCCCCTAGCAGCACCATATGCAGGTGGAGTAGCAGGGGCCATCCCGGGTCTAGGCAGCTTTGCCCTGGGTCAGACGGCACCAGGATTGCGGGGCCTTACCACTCCAGGCATGGCAATGGCCACCGTACTACTGGTCAGCAACTTGAACGAAGAGGTTAGTACTTTTGTACAACCAAATTGTAGCTGGTAGCAAATTTTTTTGTATTTCAGAGATTGGGTTGTGAACTTGTAGCTGCATATAGCCTAATGATTTCTCTCTTCATAAAAAAAACAAACTTATACAGGATCTGCGGAGACTATGAGCAAAAAATTTGTAGGGTGGTTCTGCTCATAAAAATAACAATAAAAATTTGTGTGCCTCTTTTTATGAACTCAATATTATAGAGTTATCTAGGACACAAAGCATTTTTTTATTTAATACTTTGCTATAACCTTTTTTTAGTTACGTGATTTTGTTCAAATGTGGTACACTTTTAAAGCAAGTTCATCAAAATTCCAAAACCTCAATGGCTCTTTCATATTGACTAGAAAGTTGATTGTTTTTAATTACGTTTTGTTAAAATGAGGCATATTTAAAAAATTCTATGTGCTATTTGAGGAATATTTTTAAGAATAGAATCACTCTCTGAACTTTTTGTTCAGAGTTTTCGAACACCCTGTATGTACTTAACAAACATAGACTAGGAAACTATACTCAATAGTGCATTTTAAATTTAAAATCACAACATGAATGCCATCTACTTTCTGTTCTAACCGGAAATACATTCGGCAACTAATAGATGGCGTTATATATTTTTAATAGTTACTTAAAGAAAAAAATCACATTTTGCAAGAAAGGTATCCTTAATGACAATGAAGAACACAATACAGCAACTGCTTTAACTTTTTACCATCTTACCATCTTCTGAGTTTACTGCCTATTAGATCTTTGTAGGTACTCATTTAGAGTAGAGAATAGCAGCCACAACTTTTTACTTGCGGTTCGCCCAATGCGGTTCACTGAAAACTCTCCGATTTATTTTCGATTAATTTACCCACAACCACTAACTCAATTCACTTTTTTTTTTCACTTACAAGAATATTTTTTAACTAGACTAATAAAGTAGGGCACTAAAAGTGAACTGTGTATAGTTTTTAACATTCTGTTTTTGATAAATTTGTATATGGCATTAATCATTAAAATTGTTCTTCAATAATCCGTTATACTTTCTTTTGTAAACCTTATTATAAAACTGGTTACTTGATGGTATATGCTATATATATTTTTTTTTATAAGGCTTTTTTGTGGGGAATCTCGATAAAAGGAGCGAAACTATGAAAAAGCCTTATGAATAAAATGTTTCAAGAAAAAGATCGCATTGGTACTATTTTTATACCTGTATACATTGATTATACAAAGTCTAATGCTGTTTTTCTTTTTTTACATTTGCTGCCCCTCGGTGGCATATACGCTACCTCTTTGTGCCACGTTACATCCTCCTGTCATCTTTCTCTATTGTAGATGGTCACGCCTGATGCTCTCTTTACACTATTTGGTATGTTTTCACACTTAATTATATCATAGCAGTAGGGTAGATATGTATCGCAGGTCACCTAACAATTTTATGGCTGCTTTCCCTTAAAGTGTTCAATTATATCGGAAAATAATACATTACTCTTTTAAATTAAAATACATCTAGTAGGGCAGTCCTTTATAGAGACAGAGAACAAATGAGCTCTAAATCAAACACATCTGTATTAGAAATATTTAATTTTCAGACGTTTTTACTCATTTTTCTTATTTAATTATTGGTTTTTTTCAATGTGCACGATTTTTATATTTTTTTATATTAATTTGCATGATTTATTTTACAAATTATTTGTTTGTGTGCACTTTTTTTATATTACACCCAATATTTGAAACATGTGCATGATTTTGTGAGTGTTGTTAAGAAAATATTCTGCTTTTTTTAATGAGAACACTTTCAGGGATGCATTTTTTGTTATTTTTCGTAATATATATCTACTCTTACTGTTTCCATTTAACAAACTCTGTTCTTTTAACAAATAACTTTATTAACATACGTTATGTCAAATTTTATAATTTTTTACATTTTTTAACAATAACTAAATGCAGGCCAATTAAAATAACAGAGTTAATCCAGTTTACTTACAAACTTTCCAAGAATTAATTAATGCATTAACAGTTTTAAGTAAATTGGACTAGATCCATTACCTTTCATTTTTATTATTTAATTGAGAATTTAATAGCCTTAATTTTTTGTTTACGTTTTTTTTAAAGCTTACTGCCTTAGATAATTGTCTAGACGTTACGTACTTTTCAAAATTTTTATTGTCTCTCTCCTAAGTTCGTTCCGTAGAATCTGTGTGTGTACTTATTTCTAATCATTCTGCATGTTTTGTGTTTAAAATTCCATTGTTTTTTGTTACACTTAATCGTTTATACTCTTGATGTGTCTAAAAGTCTCTCTCTACAAGCTAGTGTTAGAATTTTGTTTATTACAACATTTTTATACATAGCATTATTATAATAGGTGAAATAGAGATACAGCTCACTTAACTTTTCCACTCTTTCCTTTAGGCGTCTACGGTGATGTGCAAAGGGTGAAGATCCTTTACAACAAAAAGGACTCTGCTCTCGTCCAACTCGCTGAACCACATCAAGCTCACTTAGGTAACGAGATTCAAGTTCCCTTTTGGTTTTATTTTATTTTAACGTGAATTCATTATTTACGATCTTCTGTCCCTGCATGTGTAGTAAGTTATTATATTTTCTGCAGCCATTACCCATATGGACAAGCTCAAAGTGTTCGGCAAGAACATCCGAGTGATGTTGAGCAAACACCAGTCAGTACAAATGCCCAAAGAAGGCCAGCCTGATGCTGGTTTAACCAAAGACTACAGCCAGAGTCCACTGCACAGATTTAAGAAGCCGGGTTCCAAGAACTACCAGAATATCTATCCACCATCGTCGACGCTGCATCTCAGCAACATACCGGCTACCGTTAATGAGGATGACATCAAGGAAGCCTTCACTAAGAACGGATTCACTGTCAAGGCTTTCAAATTTTTCCCGTATGTATCCATTTAGACAAAATAGTGTTGCCTCTTCTAATGTTGCTTAAATAATACAGGGTTCCTCATGATAAGTGGCCTATTAAATGTTTCAGAGTGAATGAAGTTGATAGGATACTATAATTTAAAATTATGGTTACTTTACATTTCAATGTTTTCTTAATGAAGGGATGCTTATTTGCATTATATTTTACTTGCAGTTACTAATAATCGTATCTCAATGGAAGGAAATCTTATTAGGTATTATTTTTGTGTAAATGAATTAATTATTTAAATGATTCAACAAACGTGAAACAACGCACTGTATTAAAGTAATTATGAAAAATAAAATCAATGTTCTACAAAGAACTCTATTGTATGTAGTTGGCCGAGTTTCAGTCGCGTCCAATTCTTCAAATTTTGCAAAATACCAAATCGTAGAAATGCAGTTAATACTTATTCATGGTGAATGTCCCATGGATATAAAATAAATTCAAAATATCTTCATTAGAATAATTTATTTTGCATTTTTCTTGTCCAGAAAGTAATTGATACTTGTAGAATACTGAGTGACAATATCATTATTATTTGCCTTTCGAGGCACATTTGATGACATTTTAACGTAATATTCTTTAAAATGTAAATAAACCGCAAATATCTGAGAAAATTGAAACTGTAATCCCTACAATGCCTATTTCGGTGAAAAGAGAATTTTATTTTCTATAATATAATGCAGAAAAATACAATACAATTTAAGTATTCAAAATATAACGTGAAAAATGAGACACTTAGTATAATTTTCTTCAGGTAATTTTGATAGCGGAAGGGAGTGCATCTTATGTTCTTTGTGTATTCTGAAAAGCAAGTGAAAGCTCCCAAAACGTAGAAAGGTATAAGGAATTTTTTAAACGCTTGCATCTGTCAAATTTTTTGTAAAATGACGACGATTATCTTGAAAACGGTTAGATCTAGGTACAGGGAAGCATTAACATTTTTGACTTATTTTCAGATTATCTTGACGATAATGCAATAATATATAGAATGTTCCATTTAAAATAACGAAGTTGACAGCTACTTCTGATATAACTGGATGACATTATTTTCATTGAAGAGAACATATCTGATAACCTCTGTAAACAAAATTTCAGAATCATATTCTCTTTGGTTCCTCTGAAACGTTTAATAGTCCACTTACCGTGAAGAACCCTGTATACAGGGTGATTCAGAACTTAACCAAAAAGTTAGTGGGTGTAAACGGACTTGATTTAGCCGTCCTGAGAAACATCATAGCATAAGCGTAGACGAGGGGTCTAATTCCATTGCTATAATAATAATAATGATAATGATAATGATAATGATAATGATAATGATAATGATAATGAT